TGCTTTGAACTGCAACCACTTAGTCGTGCAACTTACATGATTCTCACTTTGGCTGTGTTTTGTTAACTTTGATGGCTTCTTCCAATTCTTGAAAACAAAAGATGCATCCTTTCCAAACTCTATGCAGGCAAAACATACACACACGTCTTTTTCGACATCATAACTAAGCCATGGATACTTTTTATGCCAGTCAGGCTGGAATCGTCTAGTGCAAGACTGACTGCCGATTCCTGAGCAGTTAGGTATCGCAGCAATTGACTGTCTGATTTATGACCAACCCGGGCCTCGCTGGTTAATTATCATTTCATATTTGGCAAGCCTTAGTAGAGCGATTATCAATCATTATATTTATTGTCTCTTTATTCTTTTGTAGGTTGAAGGAGCAATGTTTTTTGTGAAGAAAGTTCCCAGCAACAGAGGAAAACTATTTTTTTTCGAGAACTTATCGACTTCGTTTCCATTTCGTTGAACACTGGTAAGTGAATCTATAGTCGATGATTACTTTAATCCACTCATTACCATTCACTTTGTTACTTGTATGACTTTTGAAAGCCAGCACAAGCTAAGAGAATAAGCGAAATGTTGACGTTAACAAGCGCTATTCCAAGAGGTTGGTAGCACCCTTTTTTAATTATTTTGTTGAAGTTATAGTGTCGCGGACAACGGGTCAAGTTTGGGACGCAGCTCGTGACTTTGAGATATGTGCGAAAGGCTGAAAGGAAGCTTTCACAACTTTTCAAGGTGGCTCATCTTCTATCTACTTCTAGATGACGAACGCAGTCACCTAGTCACGTCCAACTCACATAATGCTCCACACGAAAGTAGTGCAAGCAAGTTGTGTTCACACTAATTACAGTCGGAAATCAAACTTCCGTAGCCTTCAACTGCATAATCTATTAACGCTCGCTTATATTCGACTACTTTAGACTTGAATCTAAAAATGAGCATTACCTAATTTGCCGGAAATTGCATGTCAGTTAAAGTAATCGACAGACATACAAAACTGATCTAAACTCTTTTTAAGGACTACCCTGGCCTTGAAGATCACACATTGTGACCGACTTGCCTAACCACTTTTAAACTCGATAAGCTCCAAAATTATCTTTTACAACATACGTGTTACAATAAAATGTAAACAGACAATATTGATTCTCTTTGAGTTTTATTCACTTTACAGGTAATACAAACTATACAAAAGTCCACTTTGAAGACTCAGTAAATTGAATTTCGTTTCGTGACGCTGTCAATTCTTGTAGTTCTCTTCTTTATATCCCTGCCAGGAAAATTTATTTTGTTGTAATCGGTGAAGAGCGATTTTCTCGGGTGAATGTCGCTGTGATGCCCGTAGCCGTCTTTTTTTTCTTGTGAGGTTTTTGAATGGCTGAGAAGCTTGATGGTTTTGTGAAGTATATGTGTCTGGACATTGTCTCTACTTTTTCCGCTTTAGACCAAAAATCTTGCAATTTGATGCGATTTCCTATCGAAATACTACAGCCATTTGCATGTTTTCTTCATGACTTCAGAAAAAAGTTCAAAATCCCGCATATTGAATGAAGATACCGTTGCATCATATATACTAAGAGTTACTCTTCCACCACCAGGAAAGTTCTAAAGATACGGTTGTTAGAGGCAATCTTACTTTCTTTCTGTTCGCCATCTAAGTTCAAAGCAACTGCATCAGTCAGACCTGACTAGGTGACGATAGCTGCTTCAACTGTCCGATTACAGGTGTCCGATTACAGCCAACTGTCCGGGCACACTGTCCGATTACAACTGTACAGAATGATTAATGAATAATGAAGCTGCGAATGCACCAATAATATTTGAGGAATTTGTAATGGTTATGATTATTCCTATATTTGATATCGTTTGTTAGTATACCTTGGATCGTGTTTTCCGTTGGATTGAAGATTATGGACAGTAACTCTAAATACCCACCTTGCTGAATGTCGAGAGAGAATTCTATAGTATAAACTGATTGGCATTTGTATTTGAACGCTACAATACCTAGGTTCTGTTCCATTTTTACCCATGGTGACACTGTAAGTGCTGATGTTTTGGGCATGTTGGCTTCGACTTGAAAAAACAAGTATCTTTCGGCGTCTTTGATTTCCAATGTCTCTGAAAATTCCAAGAAAAGAGGAAGTTAAATAAAAGGAGATTTACATATTAAGACATACAGTGTCTCATAAGAGAAAGGATCGTCAACGTCCTTCGCCCATACTGTTCTGAGGTCTGATTGCTCCTTGATGAACATTGCGTAAAAATTTTTCCAAATTTAGGAGGTAAAAGGGATAACTTTGTTTGCTATGAAATTAAGTGAGGATGCCCATAGTTGTGGTAAACTGGGAATCATCCTGCGTTATCGCTCTTGGGTTTAAGACTTAGTCAGATTTGGGAAATAATATGAAGTTAGGATCATTCATTTTTACTCAAATATGACGTAATTTTCTAAGTCTTTGTAATAAAATTGTCGCACTTTGTAATACACTTAGTGCAGATGGTCGGAAGGCAAGTAAAACCAATAATAACCATCATACCTGTCAATAACAATAATACTTGTAACAGTAATAGTATCTACAATTATGATAAAAATAGTAGAGATGATGATGATGATGATGAAAATGATAGTTATAGTGATATTAATTGAATGGCGATATGAAGGGAACGACAAAGAGGTTAATGGTAATGATATCAAAAATGATACTATTAATTTTAATGACGATAAGAATGTCCACTAACGAAACACGACAACTGTGGCGTTCCAGCTTCAAGATCGTCATCCGGAAGTAAGGTTCTTGACTCCATCAATACGGCCGACCTCGAGACAGTGAAGGACTCCGTCTTCATGTGATAACCACAACCTTCACGAGAAGTATTACAACTATTACCTGGGGAATTTATTATTGACACAGGTCTTAAGAGGTTTAAGTCACGTCTCGAATCAGAATATGATATCATTCGTTAGAACGCAAAGAAAGACCAGAAATAAGCAAAATGTTACAAAACCAATAAGCACAAATCCCGACCAAATACAGCTCGGTTTCCTACAGAAACCATCGGAGGTACCTGTGCCTTAATTGTTTTCGCTTTCTATTCCTTGTCATCTTAATCATCATTGTTGCGCCGAAAGGAAATTCTTTAAAATGTTTCGTGTCAATTGGCCATGTCATTATAAGCGCCATCGTTATAAATTTTAAGTAGACTATGAATGTACAGGAATATATAACAGAACCATTGAATTTAATACGAAAATGCACCGTCCCAAAGGATGTGGCTCGACTAAAATAACTAAAAGAATGCAAACGCGAATAACAAATCTTAAATACGATGTAGCTAAAAAAAATCTTAACACCGAACGTGTATGTTTAAGTTTCCAAACTCTTTGTACAGTTGTAAATTGCAACATGCATTTTTCGGCCATAAGTCTTGAGTGAAAAGACAAAGGCCGTTCTTTCAGTTCTGCTTCAGTGCCGCTCGTTTCGCCAAAATATGTTCAGGATGATAAACCATCCAAGACCAATAAAGCGCAGTGCTAGCCCGGCATTCGCCCATTTTGGATTCAAAATTATTCGCCGGACTTCAAGAACGACTTCACTGTAGGGCCCTAACTTCCTTATGAGTTTTTGATCCTGGTAATGCCTGCTTCACCGCCAATTGAGAAGTAAATACGTGGCAGGATTCAAGAGGCTAGCTTATGGGTTATATCACAGAAACGAATGTTAACTTTGCACAGTTGATTGTATAAGTGGCATGTGTGGTCAAGCCACAAAAAGCATGAGGAAGTTAATACCTCAAAAATGACTTTTTCAAGAAGTTTATCGGGGAGCCTGTCTATGTAAGAAGTCAAACTGTCTGACTGATTCATCATTCTGACGCCGTCTTCATCAACAAAACGGATCTCTTCTGGTCCATCAGCCTCGCATATATGATCTTTACAGGTTCCATTCTTCGCCAATGACTGCAGGTACTCTGACCAAAGCATACCCATAAACAGTTCTAGAGGAAAACCCTCGATGTTGTTTGGATTGCTCAACAAGCATTTCACGATCTCCTCCTGGACTGTTTCAGGTGATCGATGTATGCCACAGTGGTTTAAACAAAAGCACAACGCGCAAAAATTGCAGTTTCCGTCACCTGGTGGATTGTGCATTAGAGATAGACTCATGTGAGGGAAATCTCGCTGCAATAAATGATCGCAGGTAATTAAAGGAATCATCAATTTTTTGCGTAGCTCTCTCACTCCCTGCTTTTTCTTACTGATGTCCCCTGTGTGGTGGCTACGAATGCTCGCCATGCTCTCCACGGAAACCTATTCTTCTGTTTGTTCCTTTTGTTTCGGGGGCACAAATCTAACTTTTGATGTATCTTGATTTTTTTTTGCTTCTCTTGACAACGGTGCATTTCACTACAAATCTCTTCTTTTGTCACCGGGTTGAAATCTTTCAGCCTTATAGAGCTGTTTGTGGCATCTTACCTTTCGATCGTTAAGTTTTGAGCTGCAACGCTTGATAATCCACACTTGTTCTCAGACTCTGACAGCCATCTCTGAAATTGTCTCGTAAGATTTCGCAAGATCAAATGTTTACTGTGCTGATTCACAGAGCTATGTGTCGTAGAAGTATTGCATTTAGTACTGCTAAATGATCTTTTTACGAAAATAAAACGAACTATTGACCTGAAAACATACCTCCTTAACTGTGGCAACCATTGCCGTCCACAAAAACAACGTGCGAGACTGACAGCCGATCACGTGCGACCTAACAAGTTTCCCATTTATCGCGAGATAATTTCCATGGGAATTAAATTAAATTAAATTGAATTTAAAAAGTGGATAGCGTGTCCTCTATGGGCCACCGTACTATGGGCCACCGTACGATAGGTATTACAAAGTGCGACAGGTATTACCTTCTGTAATGGTCTGACACTTTCGGTATTCCTGTCTTTGTCACTGTCACTGTTACTGAGAATTTTACCGTCACCGTCTCTGTCAGTGTTAC